CGAATTAAAAAAACGGATATCCGGATATAGCATATCGGATAAATGGATGATGGATTGATCCGGATTGGAACTCTAATAATCCCTATCAAAATTTCATATACAAAGGCACACTTCCCTAGCTAGTTATCTTGTATAAAGACACTTTTGGCTTGTATATTAAATATATAAAGGAGTCCTCGTAAAAGTACAAAAGATTAACCTTTATAAAAATTACATTGTTGTCCACCTACTACAGGTCTTTTCTATTTCTCCAGTATCCAAACTTGACTTTTCTTTTATAAAAAATTTTGGTCAAAGTGATTGTTAGAAATAGTATGACTTTTAATGTGATAAACATGAGTAAAAAAATTTTAAAAATTATAAAAGTTTTAAAATATATACAATTTGTTATGTTAAATAATTTTTTTTTAATTTGGCAGTTTTGCCAATACTGTTTATTAGATTTACACTAAGATATTTTTTTATTACAAGTATATTTACAACTATCTAATATATATTACATGTATTAGCTCACCCGATTACTAATTTAAGTATCTATATACAACTTGCTATATGAGACTTTTACCTCTTTGATAACTAGAGTTGCATCAGTCCAGTTCAGTCCTTAGCAGAACCAATTACATAGTGGCACCGGTCCGGTTCTTCGGTTTTAAGAATGGTTCTTGGTAATACAAGCTATGATTGGTCAATTATACTGTATATATATACTAAACATCGTTTACTTATCTCTTTGCAACAAAACTAATATGGCAGCATCTATAATGCTAGTCTGCAATATTTGTAACAAAACTAAGGTGGTGGTATTTATAATTTACATTAGACTAAGTGTAAATTAAGTATTTTTTTAAGCCGCCTCTGATCTTTAGAAATTTGTAAGTAGTTAAACTTTCAGAAATCTTGCATTTAACTTTCTTAACAAATATATGAATATGTATATATTTATATTACTATATCATATATATATAAATACAAAGATACATTATGTTTATTACCCTTTACTAACAACTTTAACTATTAATTAACTATGAAATCAGTACCCTAAAAGCATGGCTTGAACCTATTATTTACAAATTTTTTCTTTAATCCAACTTTTTAAACATAAAACTGCCCTTGCTACTTCTCTATCCAACCTATTTTTTGCAAGTGTGATTATTTGTTCAGCAATTGAGAAGGCTTGTTTTAAGACAACACTTGTTGCCTAAATACATAAATAATCTCAAGTAATTAAATTTAGTCTAGAATATTCGCGTTGTTTTTCTTGCTACCAAGTTAGTAGATCAACTTCATTCTCCAATAATAAAGCTAAGTATCTTTCTAATTCATCTTATATGTTATTCATCTTTGGCAAAAAGGCACTTGAATCACTTTCTTGTTAGGAATCAATCAAGCATAACTGACAAAAATAATTTCATGTATTTGATAGCTCATTAGATATTGTAGCTGGTTTTAGCATTGCAAGAGAATACCTATTAAGGTTTGAAACTAAGATGATTGCTTTGGTTTTTTTATTCAGGTTTTTAAATACTATTAATTTTGTTCTTGGGTTAAGCAATAATGAAATCTGTGAAGTTTCATCTAAAATTAGCCAGTAACTATCTAACTTTTGATAAATTGTAGATGCTACCTGATTTTGTGAAAAATTATTATTATTCTTGTATTAAGACAAGTGATTCTGAATAGCAAGAAAAACAAATCGAATATTGCTATGTGTTAGATAACTTGAGGCAAAGAGAAGTCGAGTAGCATGTTCGATTGGCTCTAAAAGAATTAGTGTATCTTTTTTTTTGAATTAATTAAATTATTATTTTATTTTTATTTATTTATTTATTTTAAAATTTATATTAATATTTATATAGTCATTTTTATCTGGATACTTTTCTTGAAGAGCTTCATCATTAGCTACAAGTATATTCAGGACAGGTTCCATTTTTTTTCCATTTTTTCAACATGTAATAAGTGAAATTCCATCTGGTTTTAACATCTAGCTCGGGTGCTAAATAGTTAATACTCTTTAGATCATATAATTTTTTTAAATTATTGATCATAGAGTGCGATACTTTGATGTAAGATATCAATAATTGCACTTTAATTACCGATTCATTAACCAAATCGATTCCACAACAAACAGCCAAGTTTAACACATGAGCTGCATATTAATAGTAAGAAAAATCACTATTATTAAGTTTTTGAAGCTTTTTTTTTAGAAGTGTACTGCTTAAAATTATTAATAATACGTTATTGGTAATTAAAATCAAACTTTTTTCAGCTATATAATATTCTTCTAAGGTATTCACTAGCATATTGATAATATTAACTCCTGTATACTATTCTTTTACAGGAATAATGTTGAGATGAAAATTTTTCAATTTCCAAAATTGATCAGCATAATGTATCATAATGCTTAGAAATGATATACTGTTTGATGCTGTCTATATATCTAAAGTAAATGCTATCTTTTTTAGAATTTTATTCAATGCTGCTTTATTTTCTTCTTTATTTTGAAATATTTTTTCTATCTAATTTTTTATTGTATTTCTACTAGGAAATTGGTATCATGGGTCGAATTTTGAAATCATGTTCCACTATTTTTCTCTTTTGACAACACGAAATAGCTGCAAATCAGAAATAATCTATCTTACAACCAAATCAGTTTGCTCTTGTTGATCAATTTTCAGATGGAGGTTTAGATTTAAAGGCTTTTTTCTTTTTTTAATACTATGGGGGCATCCATATATAACATTATGTACCTCTACATAGTAGCTCTTGACTCTCTTTTTAGACTATATAAAAAATTTTTAAAAATCCATATGTTTATATATATAATTTTACAAAAACTTAGATATATTATACCCAGTGATCCAATCAGGATGATTTTGGTATCATTCGATTCATCTTTGTGAGACGAATTCAATGGTACCAAAATCATTTTATTTAAACCACTGGATAACATTTTATTAACTACCGTAAAGTATAGAAAATAAGCACAGCATTCTCTACTCTGCTTTTTTAATTTCAGATTAACGGGAATAACTTGATTAAAGGTTTTATTGCTATTTTTGCTAATCTGAAATTGAAAAAAGTAGGGCAAAGGGTGCTGTGCTTATTTTCCATACTTTACGGTAAATACTATTGATTTAATAGTAATTTTATAAGAAAACATAATAACCAATAGTATTTTGTTAATAAAATATGATCTAGTAATCCAAATCAAATGAAATTGGTACCATTTGACTCCTCTCCTCGAGAGAATTCGAATAGTACCAAAATCATCCAATTTGGATCACTGGATCAAAGCTTAGACAAATTTTTATAAAAAAATTGCATTATATTTTGGGGACCTCCTCTAAATATTGGAAAATTGTTATATTTTAGGGGACCCCTCCCTCCCTCAAACATAGCATTATTTATGGATGCCTCCTATTATGTTGTGTATAGTTAAATAACGTGCTAATATTGAAGTTGCACTTGATTTTGAAAACTCTGTTTTACATATTTTACAAATAGGTATACCAAGTTTACCCTCTATTTCTTTATGGAAGTATGGCCACACAGGTAATTCGTGGCTATCAGATAAGCCTGGCTTACAAGATATGTCTTGCAATTCTTGTCACTTTGATTAAGTGATGTAGAATCATCACTAGTTTTATCTTCAATATCAGAGAGATCTTGACTAACATTTCTGTATTCACTTTCTTGAGCAAAACTCATTTTTAGGAATTTAGTACGAAATCAAAAAAATAGCTTAGATAATAATTTAATAATATAGAAGCAAATTTGATAAATAAAGATAATGTTAAAAAAGTTATAGCATAGTTAACGATTTGTATTTAGATGCTATTTAATATAAGCAAAGATAATTTGATGAAAATAAAAATAATAATAATAAAAAAAATAAATATAAAAAAGTATATAGTTTTTTAATTTGAATTTTTATTATTAAATTGAATTGTAAGGTCTTTTTACATTTTACATTTATACAAATGTTATCTTGGAACAATTATTTCTATATGCAAAATCACCTTTCAATTATTGCACCTTTCACAAACTATCATGTTTATCTAATGTGTCATAAAGTGCTACTCTACGTCATATCTAATTTAAAATAGCACTTGCATTATTAATAATGAACAAATAAACCAAATAATAAACAATTCATGGCCAAAATAAAACAAATAATAGATAAATATTTAAATGGCTAGCATCATATAAAGTACAAACTCTACAAAAAAAAAAAATAATGAAAGAAATAACAAAAATAAAATTTTATTATTATTTTTTTTTTAATAATTTGGCAGTCATGTCTTTACTTTATTAGGCTTTGTAATAATCATTTAGACTATTAAAATTTTAGAGAGACTTATTAGTAAGTGATAAACTCTAAACAAGTTGGCAGATAGCATATAAGAACTATCTCTAAATGATATGTGCCGTGCCCAAAGGCCACACAATTATACCTAAATTACAAGTAAAAACTAACTTGGTTGCTCAATGAGTACCTATGTTCGACCTGCTATAGTAGAATTTTTCTTTTTCCAGATCTTTTTTGCAATTGGATATAACCTAGCTCTCAATAGATAGTACTTACCACCTGTTATAACTACCTCTCCCTTCTTTCAGACTTCTTCTACCTAAGCCCGACAATATAATTAAACTCTTATTTGTACATAAAAGTAAAAAAAATAATGCCATGTTTATAAAAAATATAAACATTTTAGAAAAAAATTCTTCTTCCGATTAGATATAATCCGGCTCTTAACAGATGATATTTACCACCTGTTATAATCACCTTTTCCTTCTTTTAGACTTTTTCCACCTAAGCCTGACAACATAATTAAACCTTTATTTATACATAAAAGTAAAAAAAATAAAGCTATGTTTATGAAAAATATAAATATTTTAAAAAAAAAAACACCTCACAGTAGGAAAAAAAACATTTTAACAAATTCTAAAATAATCTAACATAAATGAACCAAGATGAAAAAAGCGAAAAAAAAGAAAGGTAGTCATGACACACTATTATAGCCTATGCCAGGCATAAAGATAAAAATTATATAATAATTGCAA